CTTTTTTTTTTTTTTTTTTTTTTTTTTTTGAAAAAGAAGTACCTGTGAATAGATCAAAACAGGGGGAACTTCCCTTGATTTGACCCTCTCTTTTCAAATCATTTGATGCACAAGCCAAGCAAACAAACACCCTTTGATGAGCAACTAAGAACTTTTGGGGAGAGAGAGAGAGAGAGAGAGAGCAGTTCTGTGTTGAGAAATCTATAAAAATATATAATGAAAATGCAATCAAGGTGTGTCAGAAGATACAAACAGCTGAAAAACGAGGAAACGTCTCCTTCCGCAAAGCTTAATTAATTGTTTGTTTAATGAGAAAAAGAAAAAGAAAAAAGGAGGATGATGATGATGGACAAGAAGCGGGTGGAGGGATCTCATTGCTCATTTCTCCATTAAATATCTTCTTGTCGTTTTCACAATTTCCATATTTTTCTTATCAACTTATTTGGGAATTTTTTGTGGTTGGATGCCTGAGTTTGAAGATAAAGCAATTAAATCGCTAAGGAACGCAGAACCAACTACCATAACACCAACTTTAATGCTTTCAAAGCAGAAAATACATTTGCCAAAATTATTTTCCACAAATATTACAGTTGTATTTCCTTGTAATCATTATCTCTTAAAACTATTTTATTTTTTAAATGCATTATTATCTCTTAAACTTTACCTATTACCATTCAGTGTGAAAATTAGCAGATTAAAAGTGTAACCGGAAAAAGAGAAAAGGAAAAGAGAGAGTTAAAAAAGCAAGGGGTCCCAATCAAGTGCATGTATGATGTGTCCATGAATCATGAGCCCCTAAATAAGTGGTCCCAACTTGGCTCTCATGCATCAGACCTATACTAGCAGACATCAGCATATCATAATGATCAACAAAAAATAAAATAGGAAAAAATTGTTTATATTAATATTTCTACTTGTTTCTTTGAGAATTTTATTCCTTCTCTCGTTTTCTTATCCCAAAAATGAAATCCTTTAATTGTCCTAATTTCTTTCTCAATAATTTTTTCACTACAACCAAAGGATGGCTTGACTTAGATGCGTGAAATTGAAATGAAATAACCATAGAGTATAAAGAAATGGACAAAGAAGGAAATGCACGGCCCAATAAATAATTAGTAATAACCCTTTCCAGCTTGTTTGAGGTAACCCCATCATTCGCATGGAAAGACACAGAATAAGCATATTTATTAAAATTCTGAAGTGCAACGGCTATTTTCTACATCTCAGCCTTTAGAAGTTTTCAATCACCATCAGTAACTATTATTGTGTAAGAATGAGCAGTGACAAATTTAAGGCCTGTGATGTTAATAGGACTAAAAATTTCGAAGTTGGGGACATTCATTTCATTCATGTAGCTAGCTCGGGTATCATCCATCCATAAAGCAAAGCAGTGTGTATAATGGTAGGCGCTATTAATATACTATATATATATATAAAGGTTTCTATGAATGGCCTTTTAATAATCAACATGTCATTCTCGTAGAGATCAATGTCAATAGTATTTATTTCATATATACTTCCCTTGGATTCTTTCGTGAAAACTCATGGCAACTTTTTGTTCTCGCATTAACAACCAAGATTTCAGTTTTCACAGCTAGTAAAAGCACATTGGATCTCCCGCGGACACTTGTAAAAACCAGAGTAAAAGGGTATGCTCAGTTACTCGATAGTGAATATTCATATGTCAGAACTCTCAATAGTTCAGGGTGTACTTAAAAAGGTACATCATGATCTAGACGGGAATGCGCTTGTTTTCTGTCTTTTCTATTTTTCTTTAAATCTCTTCAACGGGGGAAATTTATGCATCACACTTTTCTTTAAGAAGAAAAACTCGCTAGTTTCTTTTTCTATTCTTTCTCAAATTTTTAAGAACCAAAAAATGTTGAAAATTTTACGTAATTACTTAAATTAACAACTGAAATGTGTCATGAAACCTTTTAGAGATGTGTATATTTTAATTATAACAATTTTTTATATGTGTTAATAATTCATGTGAATGTTTGCCATTGTCTAAACAAGAAAACAAGAATTCCCATTGAAAGAGACTCACATTTAACTATACAAGATTATTGTCTTTTATTAAAAAAATATTGTGAAAATTTTAAAAATATTATTTGACTAATTCCATTTTAAAATATTAACCTATGGCATTTTTTTCTAAGGTAATTTGCTTTTATAAAATTTAATTTATTTACTTCCCCAGTTCCCCCTAGCTATCCATAATTTAAATTTCTGGTTTTTCAAAAGAGAGAAGCTGAGAAAAGGTAAAATATGATTTCTTAGAAAAATTTAATTAAAGAAATGTTTAAAAAAAAAAAAGCTAATACACATATATTACCTTGTGTAAAGCCCAAAAAAATCACCTTAGGTGGGATTATTTAGATGATGAAGTTTTTTTTTTTTTGAACAGCTAAGAAAAATTTCATTGAAAGGTACCAGTGGTACCAAAAGAGAAAAGACAAGTTTACAAATAGAACCAAACATCTGTAACCCATGAAGAGAAAATAAAAAAATAAAAAAGAAGATTACCCACTTCAGTAGTTGTTACAGTGAACCCTTCACAACTCGCTACTCCAGCCTTATTATGAGCAACTCTACCCCACCCACCCTCCCTCTCTAACTGATCGAATTAAACTATAATTTATCCTACCCAGTTTTGAGAACAACCTATCAATTATACACCCACTTGCATCTTAGTTATCTTCCACCTACCTAGACACCTCAGACCTTCATCTAGTTAAACATAGACCAGGATTGCAGCACCATTGTGAAAAACTATACCGGAAAGACTTTGTGAAGGATGACAACCACCTCCAACTGTGAACCTGAATCTCTTTCACCATACTATCAAAACAGAAGCTGCTATCCTTGAACCTACATAGATTCCTTGTCCTCCACACTATCCAAGTAGTTACCAGCCACACCGTACGCCAATAAACAGCTTGTGTACTTTGGTGAAAAGGTCCAGGAATGAAGTTGAAATGGTCCAAAATGCACCTAGGAAGGGGAGCGGGACAATTAATCCACGACAGACATACCTTCCATACCTTGTCAACCACCGGGCAGGTGCAGAACAAATGATAATCAGTTTCAATATCACTCTTACAAAAAACACATAGTGCATCATTTTCTGATAAGACAATACTCCTGCTAGCCAGATTATCCACCGTAGGGAGGCCCCTACTCATCATTCTCCAAGCAAAAATTTTAGCTTTTGGTGGTGCCGGGATGGACCAAACACTGCTAGGTGCACCAATATTGGATCCTACATCAGCTTCAGAGGTGATGGCACTATATGCAGACCTGACTGTATAAGTTCCAGACGGTTCACCCAACCACCACCATGAGTCAACCTGCCTCGCCCTAGGATTACACTCCAAGAGTCGTTGCATTAATTGCTGCTCCAGCGGTATCTCCCATTCGAACCTTTCCCGTCTCCAATGTAGCTGCCATGCCCACCTATGGCCTGTCCAATAGCCCATATCCTGAATAAACTGGTTTTGTTGTTCAGAAATAGTGAATAACCTCGGAAAAAGACTTGCTAGACAGATTGGGCCTATCCACTTATCCAACCAAAACCTCACTCTTGATCCTGATCCAATACTCCACTTAACCTTCCTATGAAGTTAATTAAGAAAAAATAAACTCAGATGGTTCAATTCATCCTTTGGATTTAACTATAACTTGTATTATGTAGTTGGATGCATGTTCCTTTGTATATGATTTGTAGAAGTAAAACATTATATATAGGATCCTATAGTTACCTAATTAAGGTGGATGTTACCACCATGATGATGGTGACACGGAATTCAATATTACTTCGGATATGATGTTTCCTTAGAGAAACAATCGAGATGCATGACATAATATAGTAATTAAACAACTAATAATTGATTATTGCCACAAAATCTCCCAATTTAAGTTACAAACAGGTAACTAATTTTTTAATCCAAGTGTTTCAATAAGCTGCAAAACATGTACAATCACGTACTGGTGTCCCCAAATGGATTTTTGATTCCGTTGATTTTGAGCTAACCAAATAGATAACTGGCATACATCACATCATAGAAACCCCTATCTCTGATGATCCTGAACTCACTCTGTCGATGTTTATGGGTGTGACTAGATATATAAATAATATAAAAGGGGATTTTGTAAGTGCCGCATATGGTCCCTTTGTATGTGTGCTCTATCAATTTCAATATTGTTATCATGGGGCTCTTTGCTTGCTGATGGTTGTCTAGCCCTTTTCTAATTCCAATTTCTTTTCTGAAGAAAATGACTTGAAAAGAAGAAAACACTTAGAAAAAGGTCATAGATTTCCTACTTAATTAAACAATTCTATGTGTGTAGTTAGTATACGTCAAAAAGAGGCCAAAAGAAATGATCGCAAAGGTGAAAGTCAGTGCGAAGAAATAGATAGAAACATAAGTCATATATTCACGCACCAATCGCAATAATTAAGATCTAGCTAGTTGCATCAAAATCATCATTGTATGAAGGATCAAAATTCTCAAAATATGGGTAACGTTGTATGTATAAAATGTTTTTGAATAGGAAGAGTATATGACGTGATTTTGTTTTGTATTTAAAAAAAAATGTTAAAAAGTGAAATCAAAGGTTCTAATTAAATTTGTAATCTGTGTCGGGTGGGTTAAATGAGAAAAGTCAAAAAATCAGCTGCAGTGCAGCGTAAGGAATACTGTGTCACGTGAGATTTTTGACTGGGCAATGGGGTCAAGGGTGCATATATTTCAGTAGTGGACCCATGTTTTTAATATGAGAGAGTTTGTTTGTTTGTTTGTTTCGTGACCTCTACTTTGCAATTCTCTTATCTTTGATGAAAGGAATAGCCGTCTGAAGACGCAACTATTATTTGGTTTTGGTATGCACTAGACGCACCTCAAAGACTCAAGAACCAAATAAAAGAGCCCTAATATTGCCACAAAAGTAAAGGGGCCACCATATACCTACTTACGACCCCACTCAACCCCACTTGCTGCCACCAAGTTCTCCATTCCCCCCATCATCTCTATAGCCATAGAAAAATGTTAGCTATACAGTACATAAATAGAGATATGTCATATGAAGGAAAAAAAAACCTAAGGTGAATGTGATGTAATAAAGATGAAAAAATTAATATTATATATCAGAGGTGCTGTAAATATATATTGGGCTTTTGGGGCAGGCCCAGCCCAATAGACCCCAACTTCAGATATTTCATATAGTTTGAGGTATGACATGTTATAAAATCCTTCCAAACCATGGATTATGAAACATGACCAATTATCAGTTGAGACTGACATCTTACCCCGACTTTCTTAGCAAATCCGTGCTAGTCATATTTATATATGAAGTAATCAAGATTTTAAAAAGTAATTTTGACTACAACGTCAAAGTTTTAGAGTATCCGCAATCATGATGGTCACATTAATCTTGTATGTAATTGTAAAGATAGTGACAAAATTGCAACCGTAATTTAAAACATTAGAGACAAAGTCTTTGCAAGAAAATTTAACTGTCCTTCTTACTATGTCATTTATGTCTTATCACATTAAACACTTTGAAAAATCGCTCGACAACTTTTGATCATTGTTCTAAATCAAAATGACATGCATACAAATTCCCTTTTTCTTGTGCACTTCACATTGAGATATGATTACAAGTGAAATGGGGCATCAATTTACTAGAAAAGGTAACAATCATATATTTCAAGAGTATTTACCCTCGCTTAAAAATATAAGATTTCTCACATTCTAATACTTATTACTTAGTCAAAATTATTTTTTTAACTTAAATTTCAGCACAAGCACTATTTCCACACCATTCTACCTTGTTTCACTCGCCGTTGAACCTAGCAATTGTCTAAGAGAGTGAGTTTCATGTCAAGAACTTATATTTAGAAAATTGAGATTGAGAATATAGGATTCTCATGTTTGTTATGAGTTTTAAAAAGGAAAATTTTAACATCATTTATTACTAAGTAGTTATGTCATGACTTAAGTCATTTTTATTTTCATGATGGGAGATGGGAAAGTTATATTTCCATGAAAATGTGAAAAGTTATTATTATCTAACTCAAATATAGTTTAAATCTAACCAAGTGTATTTTAAATATTCTAAAAAATAACGTTCTTGACTTTATTATATCTTTTTTAATGATCTCATTATCCAATTCATTAGGATAAAAAAAAGTTGGTTAATTTGATAAGGTAAACAATATTAAGTTTTTCTTTTTTCTTTTTTTATTTCAAAATTAACTCTAACATTAATGAGATCATAGTACTTCACCTACTTATTCAATATTAAGAGATATAATTTTAATATAATATTTTATAAAAAAATAATTAATTTAATAGACATTTTTAGATTAGTTTATAAATTTGAATGATATATTAAAAGAAAATGAAAGGAGTAATATAAAACTCTATTAATATGTGTATATTGATAGTGGCATATCCAACAACGTATAGATATTTAGGTAGCTGCTTTTAGAAGAGAGACATACGCATAGATAATTTTTTAAAGGGGATTAAATTATTGATGCTCACGAGGAGATCATCTTATATAATATATATATATATATATATATATTTATTTATGTCTATGGTCCTGTAATTCTAAAACAGGCAGCTACTATGCCCGAACTTTTGCCTACTTGGCTACCTTTGGTCTTTTGTTGTGATGTATTATCCAACTCCAACCTCAATTTATGGTTTGGTTGATTGGTCATGCCTTTGCCTTGGGTGTCATCTAGACTCAAAAGTCAAGAGATCGACTAGGTAATAGAATTTGAGAGAGCCATGTCAAGTTCATTGAATCTTTTTCACATCACTCCACCCTTTTGTTCCGAATTCTCATGTCCTCCTCCTAGTCGTATGTAAAAGTATTTATGGTGTTAAAAATCCAACCAATTCAAACAAAAACAAAAACTAAAAACTAAAAACTGACTCGAGAATTTAAAAATCAATGAAAAAAAAATAAGAATTGTGATTTTGTTTATTTATTTATTTTTATTTTCTTAAACCACACAATTTGGCTTGCAATTTAGCAATGTAAAATCAATCTAAACCGAACTAAATTACTAATTATATGGAAGTATTTTTTTCCCCTTATATTTCAACTGCAAACATCTTGATGGCAAGTAATATGTAATGTTTTATTTAAATTAAGTGAATGTTTTACTTTAAGTTCAATAATTGACAACAAATAATATGTATGGTAAAATATTGGTTGTAAGTTTATTTATTATTTTTACTTTGAGTTCAATGGTTATTTTACTTTAAGTATATTAACTATTTCAATTGCTTTATGTATGTTATGATTCAAGTCCTTTATATTGTAATTATTTATTTATGAAATTCGGTTTATGTAGAATAGAAGTTAAGATTACCTGTGATATTATCAATAAAAAAAGCTAAGCAATGCTAATAAGTAATAGGACAAGCATCATCACACTGAATCGATAAATATTGAGATTTTTTTTAATACTAGGTAGAAAAGTTTTAAAATCGTAAAACTCGAACCAAATGAAACTATAGAAAATTAGTTTAGTTTAATTTAAATTTCTTAATATATTTAAAATCAAAATAAATTACACACCACACTTAATTTCTTTATTTGATTTGACTGATTTTTAAGTAAAAAATCAAATCAAACTACAACGTGAATACTTCTTTATAATAAGTTATTATTTGGGAGAAAAAGTTACGTAATTTAATCCAATTCAATATGATTCAATTACACAGACTATCAAAATGTAACATTTTAAGTTGTCAAAAACAATGACAATTTTCAATATCAGAAAAATTAAATACAATATTAGTTTTAGTTTTGAGACTTAACTCATACAATTGTTGTAACAAAAAAAAAAAAAAAACTCGTAACGAGTGTAATTAGTCCCCGATTTTAATTACACTAATGATGTACTAACTGGACTATTTTTCACGTGAGCATAGTTCTTTCCAATTACCCCCCACCGACTTGGATATTAGAACTTAGAAGAGAAGACCAAATTAATCAGACGTACGTGTGCAGGTATTTCCAAGTTTTAGTGAGAACAGGTGATTTATCTAATTAAATTAATAAATCAAACAGCTATTAGGATAAATCTCAAACGAAAACAATAATTCATTATTAAAGTATATGTTTTACAAAATGTGTTAAACATTAGAATTAAGTTTATTAATATATAGATATATTGAGTTTACAGTAATCATATAAAGCATCATATTAACATTCAATGAATTCATGACATATATCAGTTTTCTATGCTAATAAAATATTTGTTAGTATGGATTATTATTTCAATATAAATTCACAATATCTACAATAATAGTTTGATTCTTGTTAAACTCGCACTACATTGACGGAAGTTAATCTAACGTCACACCGTTTTGTACTTAGTATATGGAAACTTTTTATAGTGTTTTTTTTTTTTTTCCTTTTCACAAATCATATCTAATTTACAAGAGGCCATCTT